TTACTCACGATCTGCAACTTCCATAATTCCTAACTAGTTCCGTGTTCCTTTCACCATTAAATTGCCAACGAAAACATTTACCAATGCATCACGAGGCACAAATTGCTTAAAAAAAAAAAAGAGACGGCTTTAAGAGTCAGCTGCTTTTGATATCAAAGTTTGAAAACAAAATTGCGGCCCCGATCGGCCTCCTCAATATAACATTTACTGTACTTTTTTTTCATGTTATCCAATCTTTCTTGATTTTATTCGTGCAAGATAAATTATGTCTCGCCGAAAAGGGGAAAGGTTTGTCACCTTTCCGGAATTAGACGTATTTTTCTTGTCTCTAACCATATTTGTTTGCGGCATATCTAAAGGAAGCGGCAGCGAAATATAATTACAACGGCGGAAATGAAGGACACGTTTCGAAGGAAAACCGGAATCAGAGATGTTTTAATTCGATACAACGTGAAAGGATCATTTACAATAAAAGTGGAAAGCAAGTTTTGACTGACATGGTGTCATGATGCCCCGGCTATTGCAATTGTCTGCTGCGTTTGTCCGTCAGTTAGGCGACCTTATCTCGAGATGAAGACTAGCTGAATGAACAGAAAATTCATTGAGTCGAGTAAGTCTGGTCAAGTACTATACCTCACAGGTAATTTTATTTACTTCATTAAAATCTCGCCGGATTAATTGTAAGTATACATGGGGTCGAGTGACTGAAATTGAGGGATTTAATTCCAGATTTGCCTTGAGTTCAAGAAGATGTCATCACACAGAATGTTTCAATTTTACCACGAACTCTTTCATTTCTTCGGTAATCTTTAAAAGCCCCTTCTCTCTCTCTCTCTCTCTCTCTCTCTCTCTCTCTCTCTCTCTCTCTCTCTTTTTTGTTTGAAATTCACCTGAATTAAAAGAAAATAGATAATAAAAAAAGATAGTTAAACGGAACAAAGAAAAAGAAAAGAAATTCAGCAAGGTCAATTTGCAGTTTTGTTCTTTCAGTTCTAAGCAGTCTAACATCGTAAATGGGTTCTATCATATTCTTCGCTAAGGGCTCTTATCCATAATCCACAATATTTTAGCGCAATTAATTGTCTTACAGATACGTAATGGCGTCCAGAGAGCTATAACTAGAGGGATTCATTGCAGAAACGTATTATTTGATTGCAAAATAAAACGATGCGTGACACAAATAAAAAAAAAAAAATTAAATTATTGTGCTTTTCGACCGTAACGTTCCTAATGTGCTCAAAGGCAAAGTAACGCACTCTTTCCTTTTTCATTTTTGATGTTCTGTAAACGACAGAAAAATAACAAAAAAAAACACTGACAACAATTTTGTCATGTTTATTTATATTCCTGCCACGTACATCTATTGCACCTCCCGAAAACGCATTGTTTATATGGCTTTGCTAATGAAATTTTAATTTAAAATGAGTCACTCACGCTGGAAATATTTAACAGAATCGGAAGCAACGAAAAACTCCTGGAGTTTCTTTTAGAACTGCTAACATCGGGTGGTCATTATACTGTCGCATGCAAACTGAATAGGTCCGGAGTATCGAAAACTTTGTTTAGAGCTTTTAATGCAACGGCGAGCGTCTTAATTTCACTTAAGAGGTGACAAAACCGCACCACATTAAGACAGCCCTTAAAGTTAAAAGCGTTTTTGAAACATAACATGAATTATGGAAAAAAAATGCTCTTTGCGATCTATTTTATGGAAAATATTTTTGTCGAAAATGAAGTGATAAAAGAAATCTGTCATGGATCATTTTAGTTTAAACACGACTGGTTCCTGCAGACTGTGTCGCAGGCGGAGGAGAATTAAATTTTTTCTTATGTCTCTGTTATGTATTTAAATTCCCATTATGTCAAAGGACATAGGGATTGTTTTGGAAAATAAAAATAACATAACAGCGTACATAGAGCAAACAATTCATAAATTTAAGACTTTCAATGCCCAGTTCATAATTAGTGGTTTTATCGCTAGGTTTTAAGAAAATTGCCTGACATTCATTTTAGCATGATAACAGGCTATCATCAAAATTCATTTCTGTTACTCACTCGAATATTTTGCTCAATCTCTTATCGGCAGGTCCACTGCGGCGAGCTTATTAGGAGGGCGTAAAAGCCAAGTTGGTGATTAGCAGAACCAATGAAATCCTCTGTCAAAAAAGGAAGGAGGCGTATATCTATTCGAAGCTAAACATATGGTAATTTTTTTTGAGTTTTTGTTGTGTTGTTTTTGAGTCAATCGTTTTTGTAATCGAACACGTGGCCGCCTTTTATCTCAAAGATCCCAAAGGAGCTTGTTTGAAGAAGACTCGATCTCGTAAACAGCACGTTCCAAATTGCGATCCAACTGAACACGTCATAACACTGCCCTTGACAAAAAACAAACAAAACTTTTCAAGGAGAACTCCGGCGCTGAGGGGAGCTACGACAGGATTTTAAACTGGCTTTAACAAATACAAAAGTTGATGATCTTGGTGTGGAAATCGCCCAATGTTTCACACAAGCGTTTCGGGTGCATTATTTAAGAAACATCGTATCTCAGGCAACAACAAAACCCAACGAAAATCCATTTCCGATTACCCCAGAGCTTCTATTGGGTCCACAAACGACCGGAGGGTGAAAGGGTCATTTGGTTCTACCAACGACAGACGTTTGACGATCAACGTGAGTGGAATTAAGTTCCAAACGTGGCAAAGCACGCTGCTGCGCTTTCCTGATTCTCTGCTAGGAAGCATCGATACGATGCAGCAATTTTACGACGCGCGACGGAAAGAGTATTTTATCGATCGAGACCCATATCTCTTCAAGTTCGTACTGAATTACTACCGTTATGGTAAGCTTCACTGCTCGCAAGAAGACTGCCCCGCGGCTTTCGAGGAAGAACTGCAATTTTACGGGTTTTCAATTTACGATGTAGACAACTGCTGCTGGGATCAGTGCAGCCCTAAAGAGAAAGGCGTTCTCGTCGAAGGCGACGATGACGAACTTAAGGGAGAACATTTAAATTGCAATGGGAATTTATGCGACTTACACTGCGAACCTAAACTTACTCTCCAGCAAAAGATTTGGCGCACTATAGGCCCCTCAAAGACGACAAATACTGGAGTGATCTTCCACATAATTTACGGTTTTTTCATATTTGTAAGTGTTCTAATAGCTTCATTGGAAACACTGCGTTGCGGGGAAACGTCGACATGTGGAGAGGAACACCACAAAATTTTCTTCACTATTGAGTCTACATGTGTCATCATTTTCACTGCTGAGCTCTTGATAAGGTTCTATGTTTGTCCGCAAAAGAAGAAATTTATGCTATACGCTATGAACGTGATCGATTTATTGGCCATAGTTCCCTATTATTTGACTCTGGTTGTGGAGAGCTTTGGTGTGGAAACAAGTTTTCTGCAGATACTGAAGGTTTTACGAGTGATTCGTATTCTGAAACTCACCAGGAACTCTCGAAGGCTTCGCTGCCTTTTGTTGACTTTACGGCGGTGTGCAGTCGACATTATCTTCCTCTATTGCATCTGTTTCTTGGCAATTATCTTATTTGGAACTGCGATTTATTATTTGGAACTTGTGGAGGGGGATCCGCAGTTTTCCAGTATTCCAGAATCATTTTGGTACATCTGTGTAACCCTCATGACTGTTGGGTAAGGATCATTAATATAATTTCTTTACGATCGAAGTATAGCAATTCATGTCAAAATGTTAAATTTGTGTTAGTTATTCTTATTACTGTAAAGAGCTTTTATTATCACAAGAGCATCACTTGTATTCTCGTTAATCAAAATTTCAAAATTTTGCCAACTTACAATGCTGAACAAAAGATTAACGCAAAACCATGAACGGTTTTTAATTTTGGATGCTCAAGTACTGGGACCATAGCTTTGACAATTTACATACTAAAAACATCTACCACAAAGTTAGCTGTCACTTGATTCTAAAAAAAACACACTTAAAAATAAGGTATTTTCGCGGCTTCTTGCCGTTTGGACTAATTATCTACGTGGGTTTGTAAATGGAAAAAACAATCTGTGGTTTTTAGGTCCGCTTATTCCAGAATAATATGAAAGTGATATAAGTCTGATCGGAAATTTTTTTTTTTTGTTCTGTTTTTTTTTTTTTTTTAAAGAAGGGAAAGGAACCACGAATATAGTTAAGCTCGAGATTTCAATTAGTTATAAGTGTCTTTTGTGTATGCAGATCGCTTAAAATCCACAGCACTTCTCGGGTTTATTCAGCTTCACAATGAAATAAGCCTTGCTAAGAACGATAATTTCAAATTTGCAATTGAGACGCCCCAGCTGCTTGGCAAAGTATTATTTGTCTTAAGAGCTCTTTGCATAAGAACTAAAACTGTTCGGTATTTGCAGAGGATTTCAATGTCTTAAGCGTGAAAAGACAATTTCCTTTAATTTCAACTGTCAACCGACTAAAGGAGATACTTCGTACTATCAGCTTTTAGCCGGCTCTATAGTTCATTTAGCTCCAGGGTTAAATGGACGCCACACTGTCCCGCGATTTTTGGCGCTGTGTGAAAACAATGTACAAAGCCAATCGCCAAACTCGTCCCAAAATGAAGAATTACAATTATATTATGACGGATAAAGAGTTAATAGGACTGAACTGGAAAACGAAATGGTCCCACAACGACGAAAAAAAAAAAAAAAAAATAGAATAAAACACTTTAAAGAGTTTCATTGGTGGATCTTTAATTATCATCAACGTGACATGAATTTGAGAAAAGATATCTTGAGAGAACCATCGAGCTTATCTAAACATATGTATTTTCAATGATTCTGAATTCTGAATAAATACCGCTTAAACACGCAGAATTCAATGCTCAGGTGGCTGCGATAATTAATTCTCATTGGTTAAGATCGACACGTAAATACTAAAATTGGAACGCAATGCAAAATGTCTTTCTTGTCAACCGTTAGTTAGAGAACAAGCAAACCTGAATATGGCGTTCTGTGGCAAAACCAATCACGAAGTCATCTTAAGGAGCTCGGGACGGATTGAACTGGAAGCAATCTTGATTATAGTTCACCACTAGAAAAACCCAAGAGGGCTAGCTGCAAACAACCAAAGAGAAACTAAGTGTACGCAATCTTCACTATAAACAGCCTTAATTAACAAAAAGGATTAAGGCCATCTCCAAGGAGCCCGGATTAGAACCAACAAAAAAACTCTTGATTACTGGGCGTGCACTCTTTTTACAAAATCTAATCTTAAAGTTGACATGCGTTGCACATGCAAAGGTATGGAGAGTTCTTCGATTGAGTGTCGTGAAACTAGAACCAAAATAATCACTAAGAGAAAAGGGAAAATATCACGAGGAATCATCACTTGAATAACTCAAGGTAAAAACAAACAAAAAATAAAGGGAGTAAGTGTTTTTAAGAAACTGTGGTGTGGTGTTGCATCGGTGGGGGAGTATAAAGGTAATTTTGATTTTGTCAACTGAGTGGACAATGCAAATTGGCCACCGTAAAGAATGTAAAAGCTAACGTTTCGAGCGTTAGCCCTTCGTCAGAGCGAATGGCCAATTTACATTATCAGCGTATTTGATAAAACCAAAATTACTTTGCAAAAACAATAAAACTGCTTGAAACGCGAGAAAACGCGGCAGACCAATATGCATTTGCTTTCTCCGGGTTGGAATCTGTTTGGCTGAAGTATATGGAAAGCAAATGCTTGGTAATCCCGGATCAGTTTCGACGATAATTTTAAAATTGCTCTCAATCGAGTTATTCAATCTTTCTAATACATATATTGTATATGTTTGTTTCTGTGTAGTTATGGCGACGTCGTACCGTCATCTATTCTTGGTAAGATCGTTGGTTCCATTTGCTGCGTTTCTGGAGTAGTTTTACTTGCGTTGCCGATTCCAATTCTGCAAGAAAAACAAGTACCATGCACGTTGGAATCTGTGACAGCAAGAAGAAAGCGGAAGCCGGGTGAAAAGACAAATGCAGAGTGCGTAACCTGTTTGGAGGAGAATCGCTGTTCCCTAAGGGATATCTCTAAAGGTGAAACGAATGGAGAAACCTCGAACCTCATAAGTAATAACATTGGGCATTAAATCATTAGGCATGCTGTTTTCACTTCTACTTCAGTCCCAATAGTTTCTTTTTTCTAAAAAAACTAACCTATTTTACGATTCAATATTGCTGTACCTTCCAATAACAATCGCATTCCGAGGTTGATTACTTAAATACATAACAGTTTGATTAATAGAGTACTTCAGCATGCGATGAAGTAGCAGCACACTCTTAACAACTCATTTGGATATATCAACAAAGTTGAAATGGTAAATTGGTCACCGTAACGATTACAAAAGCTGACGTTTCGAGCGTTAGCCCTTCGTCGGAGCGAATAGAGGAATTGTGGGTTGCGTGTGCTTTTAAAGGCAGAAAATGGAGCTACGTTATTGGTGGGAACATGGCAACGAGAAAAACACGAATAAATTAGTGGAATGAAAAGCGTTCGTTGATCCCTGTGGGATTTAGACTGCCGGTTTGAAAGATGAGCTTTTGTTCAAGAGTTTTACGGCTTTCCGTGCTACCTAAGTGTAAGGAAAGACCGCAGATTGCCATATGTTGCTTAGAATGATTAGGTAAATTAAAATGTCTAGCGACTGGTTTCGATGTGTCCTTGTCATTCCTTTCCACGTCTCGAAGGTGTTCTCGGAATCGGTCACCTAGTCTTCGCCTGTTTCGCCGATGTATATCTTTTTGCAATAAGATATACATCGGCGAAACAGGCAGAAGACTAGGTGACCGATTCCGAGAACACCTTCGAGACGTGGAAAGGAATGACAAGGACACATCGAAACCAGTCGCTAGACATTTTAATTTACCTAATCATTCTAAGCAACATATGGCAATCTGCGGTCTTTCCTTACACTTAGGTAGCATGGAAAGCCGTAAAACTCTTGAACAAAAGCTCATCTTTCAAACCGGCAGTCTAAATCCCACAGGGATCAACGAACGCTTTTCATTCCACTAATTTATTCGTGTTTTTCTCGTTGCCATGTTCCCACCAATAACGTAGCTCCATTTTCTGCCTTTAAAAGCACACGCAACCCACAATTCCTCTATTCGCTCCGACGAAGGGCTAACGCTCGAAACGTCAGCTTTTGTAATCGTTACGGTGGCCAATTTACCATTTCAACTTTGTTGAAATATCCAAATTATTTCGTTACCCCCACAACCGCAGCCCCAAACAGTTTCTTTAGAAACTATCAGCCTTTATTCTTAACAAATCAGATGCAAAACTTTTATTTATTTTGTCATGTTGGGCGTTGTGATTAGAACAAGATCCAATTGAAAAGCTCGCAATTGCAAAAACAAAAAAACCTAGGGACTGGATCGGAAATCTGAGAACACATGTATTACAAAACCCTCCTTAGTTTATAAATCAATATAGAGATTTTATTAGTCAGAATTTGTACTATTTTTCAGAAAGAAATTCTTTAATTTCATACCAAAGAGAATGAAAACAGCTATAACCTGAACTCATGTACTCAGAACATAGCCCTACTATTGGTAAGTTTCCAGCTAAAGTCGATGTTTATAAATTCGAGATAATATTTTGCTACGTAACCGCTAGTCATATCTTCAAGGTCTATCATTGTGTTTCAGTTATCTCTAGATCAGTAGGATTGGTTAAATAAGACCTCACTCTTCTTACTTTCTCTCAATGGTAGACGTAATGAACAGAGTTCTGTATTGAACGAGTTAAAACGCACAAAACCTCCTAATCAATGAAATCCACGATCGGATCGACCACTTTCATAAATGGCTGCCGGATTAATATTCTTTTGTTTGAATTTAAATTAGCCCTACTGGCCTCGCTTGAGATAATGTATTCTTTTGAATTTTGTACTGGAGAACGAGGCCAGTAGGGCTAATTTAAATTTAAACAAAAGAATATTAATCCGGCAGCCATTTATGAAAGTGGTCTATATCAATGGTTATTGACTGATATGATAACCAAGAATCGATTGATACTGACTGGCAACGATATCCTAAATCTTATTAAAGCGGGCCGAAAATTAACTGACACAAAAAGTCCGCAACATTTTTTTCACAAAAGTAGCCGACCTCTTGGTATAAAAAAGGAGAAAGCAAAATCAGAGATCTGACCTCTTGCTATAAAAAAGGAGAAAGCAAAATCAGAGATCTGACCTCTTGGTATAAAAAAGGAGAAAACAAAATCAGAGATCTGACCAGAAAAAAGTAATAATCGAAAACTGTCAGTACCATCAATCTTGCCAAAAAAGTTATAAATATATCTCCGATAGATAATTTGTCGATTTTAGAGATCAATAGATTAACTGGCATTGCGTGATATCGCTTCAGTTGATTATGCCTACATGCTGCCATTTTAATCTGCTCCCCCTCCTCAACTCAGAAAGGCTGTCTAGTGCACATGCGTCATTTGATAATACTTAGCTTGGCATTTATGACCTTCAGCTAATACCATAATCTACTATTTTCTGTACTATCATTTTCCGCAGAAAAGGAAGCTATTTGACATGGATAAATTCAAATAACGTTTGTTTAGAGTTACAGCTCAGGAAAATCAGCCTGTGATCGAAGCTTAGACTCAGTACATTTTGCAATCATATTTTCAATGCTAGGAGCACTAGAGTTAATAATAGTAGTTTAGACTTTTGAAACTGAAAACTAAAGAATTATATACTATCAATAATAAATTATAAACAATAGAGAAATCATAGCGCGCGTCGGAAAGCAAAAACAAAAAATGTCATCAGAATGGCAAAGCTTTTGCTTTCGTGTGCTATATTTGACAACTTGCCTTTAATTGTGTTCAATATGCTGTGATATACGACCAATTATATAATAAGCTGAATGACTGATTTTGATTGGTTCTGACTTATGATCTATTGGCGTACAGACACATAGACAACGTCACCACGGACAACATTTTTGCATCTTCATCATAGAGAAAAAATAGATTCTATGTTGCCTTGAGTCTGTAAAGTATAAGAGAGATTTAACACTGCGTTTACGTGAAACGCGAACGGCACGAGTGACTACGTGATCTTGTTTTCCCCGCCATTTTTTCACATTTGCCGGTTGCGCTTTTCCGTTTCTACGTGAAAGTAACCTATTTCGCTTTTGCTGTGTCGGTAAGATTTGCTTCACTTTTTCTCTCACAGAGTAGAAGTTAATTGCCGGAAAAAGGGCACCAAAACCATTTCTTGTAAGTCATACAAGGACGCCTTAAAATCCACCATGACGTGAGCTCACGTAAAGGTAACGCAGCAAGGTTCACGCTAATTTACGTCAAATGTGAAAGGACAAGCTGACGTTTGCCGTTTCACGTAACCGCGGTGCTAAATCTCTCATATAAATCACAGAATAGAAAAAAATGTGGTAAGAACATCATTTCCACTTTTCTGTCCTTACCTCAGTTTGATGTCATCTATGTGATCTGTGATCTGTTACACTGACAGCTGCACGAAAGCATGGAATCTTTTTGCGAAATATACAACCAGGTTGAAAAACGTTAACGCTAAAGTCGACATCATTGCGTGAACTAATTAAAGCATTCGTTGATAACTGGGCATGTAACACCAAAACCAGACCCCTAACACGCGAATAAACACAAGCGTTTTTATGACGTATCAGGCAACTGTGAGGGAAATGTGACTACTTCCAGCTGGTATTGACTTCGATCAATCGACTGGAAAGCTCGTTCTAGCTTTCTAAGCAATACGATACAGACAAGTGACTTAAAACAAGCACCAGAAAAAAGAACCAGCCATTAAAATTGTCTAAGAACATGTACCACAGGTGGGGGGCGTCGGGAGCGGGGATAGGGGCTAAAAGTCAAATATGTACTAAAATTGGATGAGTTTGATTAATTACTGCATGTACAGTAGTAGGTTCCGATCTATTTTGAAGAGGGGTTGATTATCAACTGCCTGGATGAACACGAATGCTTTAGGAAATTGTAGAATAAAACAGCCTTTGGAACAACGGGTTGTGAAAAGCGAGAAAAAAGCTCTTCAATTTGTTCTTGCCACCCCGCGTGCTCATTTCTTTGGGTATCAGGCAGTAGCGAGAAAGGCGTATGCGAGGGGGAGTTGGGTCGAAGACGTTCCTCGATAGGTGTCCTTTGTTGCTAATTTGTGAGTCAGACAATTTTTCACATATCACGTACATCATGTAGTTGTCATTATATCTTGTAAGACAGAATTTAAAAAAATCCCGCTACCACTTTAGATTTCGCTTAAAACTTGAATTTTTCAGGCCTGAGCCATTGAAAGCCACACAGCAATGAATTTCGATTCCTCTTTTGTCTCGTTAATATATAATTAATATATAATTAATATATATGTATTGCCTTGAAAGAAGATACTACAATAGTCGTTGCGCAGGATACAGAAATACCAATAAAATGAGATTAAATTAGAAGTATCAACGCTGACTTGAAATGGTAGAGAGAAACGAGGAGTCCATATATTGAAAACGAAAAATCCAGGGTAAGCATATCAAGATCAAACAAAGCTCTTTTCATGTTTATTGTCTTTGTCCCGAAAACCACAACAAACATAACAGGGACGAATGTTGAATAATTCTAACGAGCTTAATTATTAAAATCATAGACGTTCTTAAGCCTGGTTCAGCATTGTGTCTGAAATGAGAGAATCACGATTTTGATGAATGAGAAAAGTGCGCTGTTACAGAAGGGAAAATCCCCTGTCAGGGGAATCAAACTTTCCAAATATTTGCGAAAAATTTTGTTCCAATGAACGAGTGTTTTAGGGTATCGCCGAAACTGTAATCATTCACATTTACTAATATTTAAAGAGATACCATCCGTAGACGATGAACTCCCTGGCAACTATCCACAGAGGGAGAGAGAGAATTTCACACCAATATGTAAACACTTGTTCAGTTTTTTTTTCCAAATCAGATTTGAAGACGCTTGCTCTAAAGGGAGAATTTCCACGCGATTATAGCACAGTTTTATAAATTGCTCTAAGTTTCAAACTCAAAATAAAAAGCGCTGTCACCTAGTTACAAAAAGGCTTGCAGCGTTACGCGATATCATGTGAGATTTACACGTGATAATTTCGGGTTCGTTCGTGTCGGCAGCAATAATTGGATTCTAATTGTAAAGGCATCAATGGAAAGCTACGGTAAAACGTTTGATATCAAGGCCGACAAAAGCTCTTGAAGGACAGAAGTGAATTGATAATGACTAATAGGAAAACATCTGCGCTGTTTTTCAACCAAACAATGCCTAGCAGGTCACCCTATTGTTTGCCCGCAGTCAAGAAGCCCCTCTTGCTAACGACAGGTTTCTTTGTATGAAGGGAGAATTTCCATTACAATCAGACTCCCTTTCGACTGCGTCCAATGACAATGCGTTCAAGTCAATAAATACTCTTGAAAAACCCTGAACAGCTAAAACATTTCAGATGGGAAATAGTTGTTGATTTTAGCTAATGATCGTCGCGAAATAGCAAATTCAATATGAACATCTTTTCAGCCACAGAAACACGTTAATTAATAGTTCCAACATCAGGTACAATCCAGTGACCTGACCGCTATATCCAATTCGGTAAGATGCGTTCAAGGCCTTTTAAATGACTTTGTAATTCAAGCCTTCAATGGATAATTTTCCCTTCACGTTGCTCGGAGGGCGTTAGTGTCCCCGCAAATTGTCACAAATTTTGTGTTCGTCTCAACGCGCTTTTTATTTTATTTTCTCCGCAAGACGATTGAAACCCACTGAGATGCACTGTGTTTTTTTCTCCACATGATCGCCCTGGTTTGCTAATAGTAATTTAAATTCAAAACCCACGCCAATTTTCAGCTTTTAACAAGGACTTAGTAAAAAAGCGAAACCTTCTGTGGCGCAGCCGTTGGAAAAAAAATTTCGAAGCGATTGCGACGACTTTTATCCAGGATGTTGAGGGATATTAGTAGGTACTAGTGCGACTCCGACGGAAGAAGCTCCGAAAAATCGAACAAGACTGCCCTGCGTGCTGGCTGTTGACGGACAATGCTGAACGCTGGAAATTAACATGCACAGTTGAACAAATATGTAATCCTATATGGACTGTCAAGCAATGAGTCATTTACATATGCGTATGGATTGTTAAAAATACTAAATGTTTCTCAAAAGATTAATTCTTTGCGTAACCAAGTTTAGTGTCCCTATTTGGCGTATTCAGCGATTATTAAAATTCATCATAACACCCTGGCCTTTTTCAAGTACGTCAATCGATGTCTTGGCATTGTTTTAACCAACAAGTTGCAGGGAACCATTTGGTAAAGTCGCGACATCGGAGAATTCGTTTGTTCATAGTTTGCAGCCACTGACACCGTTACAGCACTTCAAGTTCGATGATAAAAATTAGAAAAATTTAGCATGGAGTGCAAGACGACTTGCTCTTTAGAAGAAGACATTTAGTGAATATACATGGCGAGGCGTGTTCACTTCAACAACGAATTACACAAAAAGCATCGCATTGTGTTAAACGTAAGCGGACAACGATACATGACGGAAAAGAAGTGTTTACTTCGACATCCACATACTCTTCTCGGAAGCGAGATGTTAAGCAAGTTTTTTGATCCCATTAAGAAGGAGTATTTTTTCGATAGAGACCCATATCTATTTCGATACATATTGAATTTTTACCAAAGCGGGAAGCTACACTCATCGCCCGACGATTGTCCCGTTGCATTTAAGGACGAGCTTGACTTCTTCGGGATACCGATTTGTGAACTAGGGGACTGTTGTTGGTATACGACAAACACTGATGAGAAAGAGAAACATCCGTGTCACTACGCCGTGAGAAAAGCTAGTATGAAGGCGGTACATGCCGGTAATTATCTCGATTGGAATAAACAAGAAAATAAACGGGGGATTAATAAGAGAAAGGCGATTCGCACGACGAGGTCAAAGAACTTTACACAACCCAACAGAAGCCCAAATCATGTGCCCTTGCCTAAGAAACGATGTGACAACACACGACAAAAGTCGAACAACAGAGCTGAATTTATACGCGGAAAACACTCCGAAGAGGGTAGAAGTTCAACAGAGAAGTGTTCAAGTACACGCAAATGTGAAATAAATTGCAGATGCCAACCGCACAAGTCCAAAATGGCACAACAAGTATTTAATGTTTTGTATGGGTTGTTCATAGTTCTAAGCGTGGCTGCCACAATTGTGGAGACAGTTGACTGCGATGGTGGCGTGAAATGTTTGGTACTGCATTCCGACTTGTTCTTCGCTTTGGACGCCACATTTGTCGCTGTGTTCACCTTAGAATTCCTCATACGATTCGCTGTGTCGAAGAAGCGCTGCTTATTCATGAAAGATTTCTTCAATATTATAGATTTACTAGCAATATTGCCATACTATATCTCGCTCATTGCGACGCAGTTTGTCAATACCGACAGCGTTACGCTTCTAATAACTCTACGGGTTCTACGTGTCGCGCGGATAATGAAATTAACGAGGGGGTCTACGAGATTGAAGTCTTTGCTTTATACCCTAAGAAATTGCTCAACAGATCTTCTATTTTTGTACTTCACGTTCACGCTCGGGATACTGCTATTTGGGAGTGTGTTGTACTTTGTGGAACGTGGGGAAGAGTTCCAAAGCATTCCTCATTCTGTTTGGTACACGTGCGTCACGATGATGACCACTGGGTAAGAACGCATTACAGTCTAAGGTTGAATAAATCATCATAAATTAAAATACCGTTGACGAAAACTGATTGTCATTTGAATCTATATGTATATCTACAGGCTTTGGTTGAAAACTGGTCGCTAGGTAACATCACGGTTTCGCGCGTGTTGCTGTCATGACCGGTTTCTTGAATGCATTTTGGTGTTTCTGGCCGAGTGATCGACAATGACGGATCAAAATACATGTCACGCGAACACTGTTCATAAAAAATGCTTCATTTTTTCCAAATGAAATGTTTCAATAACAGAAAACTTGAAACGTCTAGATGTGATACAATATCAATGCAAAAGCTTTTAAGTACTTCAGTCGATACTTAAGTTTATCATTTACGATAGCAGTTCTGATATTTGCTCTTTTCATCTAAGAATCTAAAAGAGTTATCAGCGCCAAGATATTTTTTCTCAATGTGACAAGTCATAAATTAACTCGAAATTTTTGACACATTCCGTTTTACGACGTGAATTAGAAATTGCATCAGTAAAGCTGGCCGCTACTTTGCCTTTTTTCATATTCTTTATTCTATTTCAATTTTTTTTTTTTTTTGACGCGTCGGTAATATTCGTTTTCTCCAATGAAGATGTGCTAATTCTAGAACTTGTACAAATGTCTGTTGCCATCTGGACGTCGACTGAGGCAGCTGTTTCATACGTGATATCAACAGCGATAAAAGATTAACTCGAAAAAGACATCATAAAAGCTTAAAGCCATTATCTAGTTCTGACTAATGGGCTTAAAAACAGACCTAAGAACAGTCTGTAGCCAAAACTAAATACAATAACCTGCAGTGCACGTTATACATTGTTTACTCTAAAGGAAAAAAAAAAAAAAAAAAAAAAAAAAACAGATCAATGAGTTTTTAAATATTCAAGAAACGGTAATATTTGAGTTATAGATTTCCTAAGGAAAATTCATGAGGATTTTTTTTCCTAAAAGTCGTTTGGATCTCTCTCAGATCTACAAAAAAAAATTCCACCGAGAGTATCACCGAATGATAGTTTACATTTATAGAGGATAAGGCTTAACGGAAGCGAAAGCAAGATAGAAACCGAAAGTAAGCGCTTTGGTCAATTACTGGAGTTAGCGCTATATAAGTTATGTTAAATTAAATTAAATTAAATAGACCTCTGGCCTTCTCTAAATAACCTCAAACATTAATCTGTACCGAAAGTAAAATGTTTCATACCCCATCTCTGAGAAGGCGGATTAATTGGCTATTTACAAGCGTGGTCGAAGTGTTAAACCATGGACTTCTAGAAACAAATGCATGAGGCAGAACGATATTCGAACCCAGAACCTCGGCATCGATCGTGTGACGCTTTTTACCACTCTGCCATCTTGCGTGTATTTCACGCAAAGCTGTATATTTTCTCTAGGAAAAAAAAAATTGAAGCTCACTAAAGCAAGACAATTGTAAAACCATATTTCTATCTACAAGTAAGCTTCCCAACTCCCAACTCCCCAGTCAAACAGCGCTCAACGATCAATCATGCCTCGCACTGAGTCTTGTACTAAACAAATAATTTGTTTTTACTTTATTTCGCAGGTATGGTGATGTTGTACCTGTATCAGTATTAGGGAAGGTAATTGGTGGACTGTGCTGTGTATGTGGTGTGGTAATAATGTCCCTTCCAATTCCTATTATGCAAGACAAGAAGGTTATAGTGCAGAACTGAGGAGAAAAACGCCGATAATTTTCAGATTTATTCTTTATAAGTTAAGAGAAACTAACAGGTTTGACCGCCGCTGACCACCCGACTCAGACCAAGCAAGCACAGGGGCGGAGCTGCAGAACGTTATAACTCAGTCCCACGTTCACACCAGAAATTTTGCCATTCCAAAATTTCCATGGTACTGTAGTTGAAGAGAGACAATTTCTCTCCCCCCTCCGCTTTATTATTTATTTGAACTGTCCATCAATTTATTCAAGAAGTCAATTAAAAAAACAGTTTTTCATCAAATTGTTAGCCATTTTACCTCTTTCTTTGAACTTTGCGACATATATCAGAGTAGGAAAGAGAAGCAGATTAGTGATTTATTTTACAATGTGAAAGAAGAACCACTTTGTTCAAGAGTCTTAGGTCGGGCAAACCTACATATAAATATTTTTATGCACGACTTGAAGTCATTTTCACTTGTAGAACATGACGCTTTGACTACGGCATATTTTTTTTTTTCGTCAAGCTTTGAGGCAGAGTGGCGAAGTGTCACTTGTTAGCGGCTGTTGAGACCTTTTCTGCCTTTTATGGAATTGATCAAAAACTTTTAAGAACTCACATGTACTGCGTGTATGTCCTTACTATAATCTGCGCCAAGAAAATTCCCTTCATGTAACATTTGAGACAGGTACTTTGCCACTCTAGGATAAACAAGTGTCGAATTCGGCACTCATAAGAAGAAAGAAAATTTTATCGGGCTCAAAAGTTCTCAATGCGGTTGAAAAGCGCACTGGTGTTTGGAAATTCTCGACTTCACGACTTCATTAATTTAACCTGAGCAGCTGGGATCCCAAAAAGCTTGAAACGAGTAAGTTGATATGAAGAGTTTATAAATAAATTAAATAAATTTGCGAGAGCTAAGAGAGCCGCATGATCTCAGAGTGTTCATCATTACTGGAATCCTATTTAATGCTCAACTGATAAAACCAAATTAACCTGTATATGTCAGTCGGTCTGCCAGAGCGGCGGTACCTCCAAATTTTCATGCAAATATTCCACTGGTTTGGGGATCTGTTGAAAAGTCAGTTCACTCAGGATTTTATTTTGTAATGTCTAGGACCTCTGAACAACTGCTTACTGTACGTATGCATTGAGGCAATATCCGGCACAATAGACTGATAAGATGTAAAAGTTTTCTTGTGCCAATGAACAATGTGAAGTACGTTTTTGGGAATCTGGTGAGGGGGACGGATACGGTTTGGTACGATCAAAACGTTCCAATACCCCTGAATATCGAGAAAAATATGTTATTTCGCCATCTACGTTGCCACGGGAAACTTGCAGGTGTATGATTGCAGCTTAACTGGCCAATGAGCAATATAGTGCCACTTAAGAAAAAGCAGCAAATTAGTGTTTCAGACATCATCGAACGAACCTAGACGGCACTGTTCTTAATTTTTCTGAATTTTTGCTTCCTCTGCGGTGAACCCAGATAAGTCCATGTTTTTAAGAAAAGGATTCGATTTCAATTCAAATAGTAATTCCACCTGAACTCGCATGCTAATGTTTTCAATAAGGGAGAAAGATAAATTGCCTTTTTATCACCAAAATAAAAGAAAACAATTTTTCTTCATTACAAACGGACTTATTGTGCCACCCAATGAAAGGCGAACTATACATGAAGTCATGGTGTTGAATAGTCATGTCCTGAAAGTGGACGAATTCTGTTTCTTCTAATGGAAAGTTTTTTTAACACTGCGTGTACCACTTTTAAGTCTGGCTAATGCACTGTTCAGTTTATCAACACCTAGTCACCAGGTAAAGGTATTGCGAATACGTGTTCCGCCAATTTCACAAATTGGCAATGGTCCTTTCGTCTTGCTAATTGTTTCAAAACAATTAATGAATCCTATGGTTACTTTTTGATTCTGACCGTTAAATTAAGACGGTTAAGAACTTATGCAAAATTAGGACTGAATTTCATATAATAATTAAAAGTAAATTTCTTCAAACTAATGAAAGAAACTACACTCATTCTTTGCCACACCTAAACTTCATAATAAAAGTTTTGCTTTTCAATGCACCTAAATAATCATACCAGGTGATTCTTACACTCTGGACTAATCGCACCGAAGCATTTGAATAAAACCTATTTATACGATATGGAAATTACGAAGAAAACAAACGGGGAACCGCCGCAGTTTGTTTCAATTTGTCTTAATTCAGCAGGCTCAAGAGGTTTATCAGTCAACGTTGTTCACATGTCTGTGAAGGAGGCAGCTACTTCAAAGGGAATGTTCTGTTAAAAATTTCTCTGCTCAAAAGGTATGATCGATTGAAAATAAGCTGTCAAGTAAAATGCACTCATAATCAGCTCTGAAATAATTTAGACATGGGAAGTCAAACAACACTTTAAAACGATAGTGATAGACATGGAAAACTAAGAAGCTACAATGTTTGATAGTACTGATAAAGCCGTCCTAAAATTGAATGAAATCCCTATAATTTTGCGACATCTCAGACACTGCCCACAGCCGGATGGTTAAAAGTACTGAACATTTACACTGATGAAAACGCGGCTGCATAACAGATTTACACTAAAGTTTTTCTTTATCGCTACAGTAATTATATGAACAAATAAACCCTCACCGTCAGTCGCCATGATCGAATTAAGATTTTTTTGAAGCGGATTCGAAGGAACTAGTTGAAACAGAAAAGAAAATAACAGCTTTCTTGACGAAAGCAGGATGTAAATAATGAAAGGTTTGTTCAGTAAGTCACCGTATGCAAATTTCACGAAGTAAAGTGTTTCTTTCTGTTACTTTTGTTGTAATAATAACACTAAACGATATGCATATTATGAATTTAAGTGTTGTCCTGAGTGGATAGTCAAAATTGTCATCTGCTTGCGACTGAGTGGAAGAAAAAAAAGAAAAAGGAAATTTTGGAAAACGAGCGATCTTTGCACTTTCAAACAGCTGACACTGGAAACTTAACATTTTTTAACATTCCCTTCACCTGCACCGAGTTCTTAATGATAATTGGCTAAGTGCTTCACATATTCCTAACACAACTTTGTTGACTTGGCGGTTACTGTCTATAAGTTATTGTGCACAGAAGAATATCTTTTGCTACACAAGAGACTTTGTGGCTGTAAGTATGAAAAAAAAAGGAAAAAAAATGCCTTCTCATTTGAAGAGCCTAACAACTTTTTTTTGCACTCAAAGAAGGCTTGTATGTTTGTTGTAACGCTTCAGAAGGAAGAAAAGTTAACGTAAATCTTAATGTTTTCTCAGTACCTATGTACATGACATCAGTATTTATCAAAGAATAACTTCCTGGCTGAATTCTGAAGAACCAAGTAATTAAACCAAATATGACCTCTGACAATATTTATGGTCCTTTGAACTGCATGATTGCTAATATGATCACCATGTAGTACACAGCGGTTAAAATGAAATCGGTTTTATTCACGTACCCAAGAGAACTAACTAAATAATTAAACACATGCTGTATATATGCAGGTCTCGAGGGTATTACATCACACCATCACGCCTCACATTACATCGCGCATATTTCATGCTCGTTGGCATCATATACACTACATTCCCTCCCTTCCTAAATGTTCAACATACAAATCGAAGTCTTTAAATTAAACCAGTCGCTCGATAAAAGGACAAGAAGTTGAAGATATTCAGTTCATATCATATTCAGTTCATATTCAGTTTATATGGCTTTATAACGATCGGGCGGTCTTACAGTCCGGGTCGACCTCCGAACAGGCCTTCCCACTCCGGTATTTTCATTGTCTGGGAAATGCCTAGGTTGTTCTTGAGAATCTTCAGACGTTCCAGGAATCTCTTTTGGCATCGGTACGACTGTCGTCTCTGAAATTTTGCTTGCCCCTGGGTCATCCACTCGTACTGCAGAACCTGCCTGTACCACTTGGTCTTCGTTGCCATTGGATACATCTCCGTGCTCGTTATACTTCTTTACAAACACAGTGTTTCTTTTCAGTTCAATGCCAGTCTCGTTCCTGAGCGTTACCTCTGACCCCGTCTTATGAACAACCTTAAAGGGATCAGGCAATTTCAACCATC